CTGATCCCTCCAGTTGGCTGTGGTCATGAGACTGCACCACTCTGTGTTGAATTAGTTTTACTGTACTGCCCAATTTCGGCCAGAGATTTATTTCCTTTGGAAGCTTTGGGTTGGACAAGTGCTTGAAGACACTGAGAACCCCCACCCACCGCGATGTAGAGTGGGCGTGAGGAAGACCCCTGGACATCTGGCTTGCAGCACGAGCTACCACGGTGTGCCGGTGTGGGGTGGAGAGATGGGGAGAGAGAGCAGAGGAAGCGCTTGAGCACTGTGACGAGCGGGGTCTGGAGACTCGAGGGTGGAGAGGGACAGCCTGGTGTGAGTGACCCACAAAGCTTCCTGAGGCCATGGTGAAGTCCCTACCCATGCTGCCTCTGAAGGTCAGCTCCGGGTCTCTGTTGATGTCCATGGCTCATGTTATCACCGAAGGTCTGCAGCACTAGGGAGAGCTGCTTATCTGCCCCTGCCCCTCACAGGGGGGTGAAGCGCTAGTGAGTCCTGTACCTCACCTTGGTAGCACGGTGGGGCTGGGCCTGGAGGCAGGGGAGCTGATGAGCGAGCCCTGAGGGCGTGAGAGCAGGAGAGCTGGACTCATTCCTCATAGGCTGTGTGCTGGCGTGGGTAAGGGGGAGATACCGTCTCCCCGCTTGCCCCTCGTCCCCTGCAGCACTCAGGAGAGTGGGCCCTGCACCTTGCCTGGGCAGCGCAGTAGCACTGACCCTGTTGGCAAGGGTGTGGGTGAACTGGCCCTGAAGGTGTGAGAGCTGGAGATCTGGCTCTGTCTCTCATCTGCCCACTATGGTGGCATGGGCAAGGGAAAGATGTTTTACCCCCTTGCCCCTCACTACCTGCAGCAGGCAGGAGACCTGGCCTTGGGCACATAAGAGTGGGAGAGCTGGTCCCGCCCCTCACCCTAGGCTGTAGAACCCAGGAGAGCTGTCCTACCCCTTACCCTAGGCTGCAGAACCCAGGAGAGCTGTCCTGCCCCTCACCCTAGGCTGTAGAACCC